AAGGACACTGATCTGTACCGGTATAGGACGTTACTTTTCAGGCCTGTGTCCCAGGAGCTCTCTAGGTTGGGTGGCTGAGTACAAGAAGGCAGCTGTAGTGGTGGTGTTGGTGGCGGGTTTGTTTTACTTCCAATGTATGAAGAAATCATATCTTCTTGATATAATATGGAGGCTGTTCTTGACTGATTTGCAAACCATCTCATCCCATTATAGGAGCAGTATGTTATTATTAAATACAGGAAACACAGAAAAAAGTTGGTGGGAAAGTATGTAGGATTTTCCACTGCACGATTGTTTTTGAACAGTCGTAAAAACCTTTAAGAAGAGCAGCCACGGCCGAGTGTGGTGGCACACGCCTGTAGTCCTAGCATGTGGGAGGCTGAGGCAGGATTACTGTGAGTTCGAGACCAGCCTGAGCTATATAGTGAATTCCAGGTCAGTCTCAACTACATAGTGAGACCCTGTCTCAAAACAAACAAACAAACAAACAAAAAACCAAAACAAAAGAGCAGCCAGTAAACATCTAAGCCTATTATTATTGAATCATCTTTTAAAAATATTTTACAATGGAGATATATGAAAAGGGGAAGTTAGCCTAGGCTATTTTATTCTCTCAAAAAAAAAAAAAAAAAAAAAAAAGCCCCAAGCAGGGCTGGGGATTTAGTTCAGTAGTTCTGCTGCCTGCTTTGTAAGCACAAGGACCCGAGTTCGATCCCTGAGACCAAAATTTAAAAAAAGAGAATGATAAAAAGCCCTAAACAAAACAAAAACCCTACAAAACAAAACCCACAAATCTTTGGGTAAATTAATAATCACAGATTTTTTTTTGAGGGGGGGTACTAGGGATTAAACTCAGGACATTGTGCTTTTGAGGTACGCAGCAGAACCACGGAGCTAAATCACTAGCCCACCATTATTTCTTAAAGGCTTTTTAAAGCAAATTATTCTCAAACCAAAGTGTTTAGCTTGTTATGTACTGTTATGGCTTGTGCTTAGATGTCCCCCAAAGCTTCATGCAGTCATGGGTGGGGCTTTTTCAAAGGCGGCTGGATCTAGAGTGTGTGTCACTGGGACTGATTCGTGGTACAATGTTATTTCAAACGCATTAGGATCAAGGATGTGAGTGCCACCTGCCTTAAATAGTCTGGATAAGATAAAAGGGGGAGAAAGATGCTTTTAAGGCCCCTTGTTGCTTTTGCTGTCTTTTGTTTGCCATGAACGTCTCCTCTGCAATGCCCCTCTGCCAAGCCACCCCATCTTGGAGCCAGCAGATTAGGGACTAAAGTATCTACAAACTGTGAGCTAAATAAACCTCTCCCAGGTGTTCTGTCAGGGCAGTCAGAAAAGTAACTAAAACGTATCTTGGGCATCTGTAATTAGTAGTACATTACATAATGCTTTTATTGGCGGGTTAGTGGCATTAAGAAATCAACAGCTTTCACTCTGACTTATTTAGTCTTTACATCTTTAAATAAAACAAGTTACTCTGTTTTCATATTTAGCATATATACATAGTTTTTGTTTTATTTTTTTTTGCAGTTTTGCTGGACTTGATAGGTAAATGGACTACCACCTGAAACAGTATTTTTCCATCTTCCTTACAACTCACATCTGGAATAGAAATGTTTTTAGCATAAATCTTCTATAAATACACAAGACTACACAAAATAACTTGAGCAATTATGGACTTCGTCTTTGAATTTTGCTTCAGAAATCAATACTGACAATGTTTGGTCTGGAGTTCAATTACACCACTATCTCTGATTCACCAGTCATTGACATATACTTGTGAGAAGTTTCTCACAAAGCTCTGGCCTGGATTTTGTTCTTAAAACATTTTCAGAAGCTCAGCTATGCCTATTTGTCAACCTGAGTAAACTGTCAGTATCAGCAGTTACCATGGTTATTAGTACAATTTTTTGTGAAAAGGGCAATTTCTATCACATATTTTGATATTATCTCAATTTTGACATTCTCCAGTTAATATCAAATATCAAATCTAGGAAGCTTCCACTTTATATAACTGGCACATTTTTTTGTGACCACAGAGACTTGCTCGGTGGATATTGATTATGATGTGTATCTGTTTAGACTGAAATCAAACCTTAAAAAAAATTCCATATTTCAAGTGTTTTTATTCTGAGAGTAGATACAAAAATTAATGACAGGAATGTGTTTTACTGTCTAGTTCAGCATTCTCTCCATATCTGATTTGATCCACTTTCACCAGATTTAACAGGTCCTTAGATTCATATGACTTTCTATATTTCCTTGTGCTCACTGGAAATTGAGCTGATGCTGGAAAGGTACATCTTCAGACTTCATTAAGGAACTCTAGCTTAAGACATGATGGAATGTGGATTGAGTCCATGGTCAGAGAAGATGGATTAAATGGAAACAAAACAGGAAACATGTGTTTGAAGTCTAACAGCAGTTGCTGAGGGTCATTCCGTTCTTGCAGCTGTGCCTGTAGGGAAGAAAAAGGCCACATAAATATTTACTGCACACAAGTGAGTTGGCACACAGGATGGGAAGATCTCTAACTTAATCAAGGAGGGCACAGTTTATAATAGCTAAAACTCACAACCCAAACGCCTATCAACTGGAGACTGCATAAAGATGTGGCTTTTCTACAAAATGGAGTACTACTCAGCCATAAAGACTGAGAAACTAGAAACATTTACAGCTAAATAGATGCACATTGAGGTTATACTTTTAAGTGAAATAAACACACGAGTAAATATGGAATAGTTTCTCTGGTGTGAAAAACTAAAAGTGTAAATAAGGTTCAAATGGTATAATTAAGAGTGTGAAATAGGAATAAAATGGCTAAAGGGGAAGTAGGAAGGGGAGCGGAAAGGAAATAAGGGAAAAGAAAAAATGTGAAAAAAGGAAAAATGGAAACAAAGTCTTTGTAAATAGGGAAGGGTGAAGAGGGTGCAAGGAGGGCAGGGGTATGGGGAAAAAAAAACCAAGACATATCATGTAAAGGTACAAGATCCCAATGATAAATGTAATGGTATTGTTTGCTTTAAATGTACCAATTAACTTAACAGGGGTGGGGGGAGATAATCAAGGAGGACCTTCAAGACCAGGAAAATATGGGCTTCCTATCCCTGAGGTATTTAGTGGTGTGAGAAACCCTGGGTTAGGCTTGTTGAAGATCAGATGATTAAGCTTTCGTCCCAGTTCTAACATTATTTAAAATTTTGTTCTACATAAAGAAGGTAAAAACGGATCTTAGGTACAGCCATGTGGAGTGGAATAGCAGTGAAATAGTTAAGGTCATAGGTTCTAGAAGCAAACAGCCTGAGCTCTCATCATGGCCTGACCTGGAAAATTCCTGAATCTCTCTATGCCCTGGTTTCTTCATCTGTAGGATGGAGTGTGAAAGAGTAAAATCATATAAATGGCAGAGTAGGAATTCTATGGGCAGTCCTTGTACTGAAATGACTATTGAGTTGGAAAGACTATTGTTATCATTTATCTCAGAACTCTGGAACTTGCTTGGACCCCAATTACAGCCAGGAGAGTGCTTGATGAAGGGAGAGGCTGATATTTGCTGAGAAAGCCTTGTATGTGAACTAGCTACTGTCACTGTCCCCCATTCTTCAGCCCCAGGGAAGCTATGAGCATATAAGCCCAATTCCTAAAGCAGCTGGCTGGTACTAGGGCAGGCAGTAGGACTCTGCTTTCCAAAAATGTGGGTTTGTACATTTTGATTCATCTGCTGGGTCCTAGCACAGATCTTGAGATGCAATGGCTAGTCTTGGTACCATCACCTGGAATATTTAAGAAGACAGATCTTCTCTCCCTTTCCCGCTATTTGAAGCCAGATATTTTAGGAAAATACAACAATCAGAAATAAAACATTCAGTAAAAGAGTTCATTGGGAAACCTGAAAGGATCAGATAGACAGAAGAAAGATCAGTGAAACTGAAAATAAGGCAATTGAAATGATCCAGTCTGAGCGGAAGAAAGAGAAACAGAAGAGTAAAACACAATATCTGAGGAAACAAGTAACAGTATACTAATATGTACATCACAGGAGTTCTGGGGGAGAGGGGGAGGGGGGATTTATCTCAGCCATTCCTGGGCAGCTGTGTTGCTGCAGCTGGGTCCAGGCTGCCCCAGCAGCCTTCGTGCACAGGTTAATGTTGATCAGTCCCCAGAACCTCCCGGGGGGCTCTCCATCAGGGTGAAGTGTGAGCTGGTTGCACACAGGGCAGCTGCAGTTGCTGCAGGGAGTCTTTCAGGTAAGAACAGTTCTCTTGTTTGTCAAGACAAGGTTAGATTAATGAACATCCAAGAAGATCAATTAATTCCAAGCAAGACGAATTCAGAGAAATTTATAATAAGGTAGATTATTGTCAAACCGTCAATAACCAATAACAAGGAATCTTGATAGCAACGAGAAAGAAGTGTGGAGGCCAGGAGGCAGTGGTATGGCACAAAGTCCTAAAAGGAAAAAAAATTTCAACTGGGAATTGTGTATCTGGTTAAAATTGCTTCAAGAATGAAGACAAAGCCAGACATGGTGCACACCTGAAATCCTAGCACTCTGGGAAGCTGAGGCAAGAGAACTGGAAGTGAGAGCCTGGCATAGGCAATTGAATGACTTAGAACTTGTCCCAAAATAGAAAAATAAAAAAGGCCTGGGAATGTAGTTCAGTGTAAAGACCCTGGGCTCAATCCCCAGTACAGGGGGAAAAAGAAAGGATAAAATTAAATCATTTCCTAGATACAAAGGACATTATATTTTGATTAAAGGTTCACTCCATCAAGAATAATTATAAACATACATGTACCTAGTAACAGAGCTCCAAATTACATGAAGCAAGATCAACAGAGCTGAAGGGAGAAACAGTTTTCCAATAATGGATAGACACTTCAATTCCCCATTTTCAATTATAGGTAGTGTTATGCCTTGTGTCTAAATGTCTCCCCAAAGCCTCATGTGGTCATAGGTGGGGCTTTTCAGAGATGGCTGGATCTAGGGTATGCAATACTGGGGTTAAGTGTGTGATGCTGGGATTAAAGGTGTGTGATTAGTAAATTGGCCCACTGATTTGGCATAGTTGTGAATATGGATAATGGGAAGGCCCACCCTGGGTGTGGGTGGCACCACCCAAAGGGTGGACAGCCTGGAAGGGATAAAAGGGAGAGTGCCTGATGTTCACTGCTTGCTCCTTTGTTGCCTTCTGCCTGCCTTGCCGTGCCAGGGAAAGTTTGTCCTCTGCAGTGTCCCTCTGCCATGCCACTCTGCCTTGGAGCAGTCAACTATGGTCTGAAACCTCTACAAACTGTAGGCCAAAATAAACCTTTCCTCCTTTAACTTTGAGTATCAGGTATTTTGTCTCAGCAAAAAGAAAAGTGACCAAGTCAGATAGATTAACAAGACAGAAGAGGTAAACAGGGGCCATGAACAACACTAACCTCAGTCAGACCTCACAAACATATACAGAACCCTCCACTCAAGAGCAGAACGCACATTCTTAGTGTCCATGGAACATTTCCCAGGCCATAGATTACACAAGATACATTGCCTTAGCACATTTGAGATCCTACAAAGCATTCTTTTCTGGTTGATATGAAATGAGACTAGAAAGGAATAAAAGAAAACTGGAAAATCCACACTGCTGTTGAAATTAACATGTTCTTAAATAGCTAATGGGTCAAAAATTACAACAGAGCAAAAGAAGTTAGACAAGTCAAAGGGAAAGTACAAACTCATGGGATGTGATAAAAGTAGCACTGAGATAAATTTATAACTTCTGCATGCCTGCATTAAAAATGATCTCAAATCAATAAACTATCTGAATACCTCAGAAAAGCAAAAAAAAAAGGAAGAGCAAACAAAACCCCAAGCAAGCAGAAAGCAGGAAATTAAAAAAGACTAATTTCAGAAGTTAAATTATTGAAGTTAGAAATGAATGTCAGGCCATCAGTATCAATTTTACAGAAATTAAAAAGAATTAAAGAAAATAATAAGAATTTTACACCAACAAACTAGATAACCTGGCTGCAATGGACAAAATCATAGTACCAAACAATTGAAACTGTCTCAAGAAGAAGTGGGAAATCTGAATAGATCTACAAATAATGAGATTGAGCTAGTATTTTTCTATCACCCCCACCCGCACATAAGATCAGATATCTTCAGTGGTGAATTCTCCTAAACATTTAAAATAGCATTAATTCTTCTCAAATTCTTCCAAAAAATTTGAAGAGAGAATAGACCCTAAATCCTTCTGAAGTTAGATAACTAAAGCCAGGCAAAGACTCCAGAAAACATAAGCAAAATAAACCTCAAATGACAAATATTATATAATTATACTTACATGAAACACCTAGAATGGGCAAATACAGAGACAGAGAATAGAAAAGAGGTTACCAGCTTCTGGGGAAGGAGAAATAGGAGGTTACTGCTCATATGGAGAGAGTTTCTGTTCAGGGATGATGAAAAAGAAATAGTGGCTGATGGTTATATAATAGTGTCGCTACACTTAATCTCACCAAATTGTATATGTAAAAATGGCTAAAGTGGTAAAACACTACCATAATTTGGAATGTCTTCCAAAGGCCATGTGTTAAAGGAATGATTTTGAATCTTTAGCTAGCGGATGCTGGTGGAAACTATAGGAGGTAAAGCACAGTGGAAAGAAGTCAGGGCACTGGGGGAACGCCCAGAAGAGGACACTAGGACTCCTGTCTCTCTCACTTCACTGCCACGAGTGAAGCCATAATGTACTGTGTAGCCACAGGTCCAAAGCAACAGGGCTAAGTGACTATAAACTAAAATTTCCTGTGAACCAAAATAAACCTTTCCTCACAGTAACAGACAGCTGCCACAAATACAACTGGGATGGAGTATAAGGTTGAGAGGCTCAAAAGAATTAATATGTACAAAGCACTGAATATAGTGCTTTTATATGACATAAGTGCTCTATTTGTTATTAACTTTGCAGTGTGCATTTTTTGCTTTTTTTTGGTATCAGGGATTGAACTTGGGACCTTGTGCTTGCATGGCAGGCAGCAGCACCACTGAGCTACACCCCAGCCCTTGGTAAGTGTCTTTTGTTCTTCCTGCTTGGGCACTGACAATTAACCTCTGAATTGTGCAGGTAGAAATTGTACTTTTACAAAGGCCATTGAACTGTTCAAGTATTACCAAGAATAAAATTAATATACCTCAACTGCATGAAAACACAGGTCATTGCACACTAGTATGAGATAAGACAAACAGTTTTTCTTTTGGAGACAACACACTATTTTGCTTCCAACAGTAACAACATTTAAAAGCTTTTTTATAGGCTAGGGATTTGGCTCAGTGGTTCCACCGCCTGCCTCACAAGCACAACAGTCCGAGTTAGATTCCCAGCACCGAAAAAAAAAAAAGCAGCTTATTTATTAGTCACTTTTGTGGCTCTGTGACTAATAACTGAGATCAGCAATTTAAAGCAGGAA